AATTTCATTGGAACTTTATATTAAAGGTCTTGTAAATTAAATGCATTTCCAGTTAATTAGTGGCGGTCTTTAATAAAATCATAGGAAAATGACAAATGAAAAGGTTTACAAGACCAAGTCTTGATCACTCATTTATTTCATTCCAATTTTTCTTAATTATTATTTGTATGGTGTTTTTTTGCAAAATTTGTATTTTCATTTATGGGGATTATTTAAAATTATAATAAAGCTACTTTGATATAATTATTTTGACATAAAGGATGACCAAAACGATGTTATATTTAATAGTTGTTGATTTTGAAACTGATGTGATTTGTAAAGTAACAGAATCCCGACACATGTTATTGTGTCGATTCTCATGTCATCCTTCATATCATTGTAGCATAATTCTTAAAATTAATGTTATTTCTACACTTAATTAGATGATTTGAACCAAGATCATTCATTTTGCGGGTAAAATTCTTTTTACGTTATATATGTATATGTAATATATATAACCATAAGTTAGATAATAAGAATATCACATTTTCTAACTTTTTCAGTCTTGACTAATTATGACCAACTAATTAGATAAAATAATATTTGAATTATTACTTTAACAATTGTGTGCAGAATTTTAAGGGTTTATTTATGTCATAAATTATAATTAACCAATCTTAATAAAAAGTTTGCTTAATGAGCTAAAATAAAATTTGTTGTAACTAGCATTAGCTTTGCTTTCCGTTTCTTGTACCAAAAAAAAAAATAAAATTTATTAAAGAAGTTTTTTTAATTATGAACCCAGCCCTTAAATGTCAAGAGTATCAATTTTATTTCATTTCACAGCATTTGTACGTGTGTAAAACACGGATGGGGGGATGTTGACGGATGGGACGGTTTGTTTGCAGTCACGATTGGAGACTGTGGATGGGTCGCAACGAGTGAATTTTTCAGCGCAAATCCATGAGTTGTGCAGCCCGTCATATGGAAATTGTGCACATAACGGAGAATTATAAACGAGCCGTGGCGGATTACAGGACAGTCGGGGTAGCTTCCTACGTTACACGCATGATTCGGTGGTCTCCCCCAAGTTTGGAGTGGATTAAGGTGAACACCGATGGTACTTTTGATAACTGGTCGGGGATGAGCAGTGCGAGAGGTCTGACACGAGACAATTTGGGCCGGTGGCTCGGCCGCTTGGGGGTTTTTTAATGAATATTGGAATGTGTTCTATTACAGGAGCCGAGCTTTGGGGCCTCTTCCAAAGGCTTTTGCTGGCGTGGGAGTTAGGATATCGAAAGGTTATTGCTGAAATAGATAGTCAATGTGTTCTCAAAATGGTCTCTCAATCAGATGGATGCTTTGGGGTTCATGAGGGGATGGTTAAGGCCATTCGTGCTTTACTTCAACGGAGCTGGAAGGTTAGAGTTCAACATGTCCATCGAGAAGCAAATTTTGCTGCTAACCATATGGCAAGCTTGGCAGCCTCATTTTCGCCTGGCCTGCATCGGACTGTGTCCATTCCTATAGGACTCGGAGCTTGGTTGGACCATGATAACATTGAGGTGTCTTAACCCCGTCAAATTCTAGCTTAGGCATGTGGCCTCCTTCATTGTACCAAAAAAAAAAAAACATTCTATAAAGTATTTTATTTTAAATATTAAATCATAGCGAAGATTATAATTACAATGAGCGAAAATTGTATAATTTCAACGACAGGCGTGACAAAGGGTTCGCTGCATTTATTCTACAGTGTGTTAAATTAGCCTTTTTTATATATTTGATTATTTTCTACCAAATCAATTAGCCACCGATTTTAATTAAAAAAAAATGTTACTTTATACTTTATGAAACTTATTAAGGATGATATATTGAATTTAATAGAAGCGTCACACATTGTAGCTATTAAACGAAACGAGTCTTTTTTTGTGTTTGTTTAGTACCTTGCTTCGTGAGCTGAGTTCGAGCTCGTGTTTATTTAAAACTCATTTGCATAACTAGCTAGCCAAAACTCAAATATATAGATGTTTTTCTATA